CTTGGGGAGTCACGTTGGGCTCGACGACCTTCTCCTGCAGGTGGAAGCCCTGACCCGGCAGCCTCGGGCCACCACCGGGCACGCGGTGCGGGACACGGAGCTGGCCAAGCTGCCTGAGGGCACCTTGAACAACATCAAGCGTCGGTACCCCCAGGTACCCCCAGGGACCTTCTTGGGGCTGCAGCTTCTTCCCATGGGAGGGGAGTGTCCCAACATTCCCCCCCAGCTGGGGGATGTCACCCTTGTGTGTGTGTCCTCGTTAAAACCACCTTAAATTAAGGAACGCGGGAGCCGTTGGAAGAGAAGGGTTGATGTTCTAAAGGCTTGTCCCTCCCTGAGGTCCCCAAGGGTGGTGTTGGTGGTGGTGACACCCAAAAAGACGTGTGGGACACCAGTCCGGGGTGTTAATGAAGGTCTGGTGGCCACCCCTGGCCTTGTCCCTGCAGGTTGTCACCCGCCTCATCCACCTCCTGAGCCAGAAGATCTTGGGCAACCTCCAGCAGCTCCGCGGGCCTTTCGCGAGTAGGTCCCAAAGGAGTCTGGGGACACTGGTGGCCATCGCCAGCGTGGGGAAGGTGTCCACCACCCTGTGCTCCCTGTCCATCCAGGTTCTGGCTTGGGCATGGCCTCCAGCTCGGAGCCCACCAACCCCACCAGCAACCTGTCCACGGTGGCGGTGCTGCCGGTGTGTGACGAGGTCCCCACGGCCGCCTTCACGCTGGAGCTCAAGCACGCGCTCAACGCCATCGGTGGGTGGTGGCCCCGGGGTGGCCGTGGCGTGGAGGGGTGGCCACGGTCCTGTGGCACCCCCAGGGAGGTGGCCACGGTCTTCTGGAGGGGTGGGCATCTTGGCGTGGTGACTGTCACAGCCCCGTGGTGGGAGGGTGGCCACAGTTCTTCGGCGTGGTGGCAACCAGGGAATGGTGACCACAGTCCCGTGATTTGGTGATGGTCATGGTCTTGTGGTGGCCACAGTGTGGTGGTGGCCATGGCCTCATGTTGACCACAGCCCCGTGGTTTGGTGATGGTCATGGTCTTGTGGTGACCACAGTGTGGTGGTGGCCATGGCCTCATGTTGACCACAGCTTCATGGTATGATGGTGATGATCGTGGTCTTGTGGTGACCACAGTGTGGTGGTGACCATGGCCTCATGTTGACCACGGCCTCATGGCATGATGGTGATGATCATGGTCTGTCTTGTGGTGACCATAGTGTGGTGGTGACCACGGCCACATGTTGACCATAGCTCCATGGTGTGATGGTCTTGTGATCACAGTGTGGTGGTAACCACGGCCACATGTTGACCATAGCTCCATGGTTTGATGGTGACCACAGCCTCATGTCAGGGTGGTGACCATGGCCTCGTGGTGACCACAGTGCCATGACGTGGTGGTGGCCATAGCCACATGTTGACCACAGCCCCATGGTGTGATGATGACCACAGCCTCATGTCACGGTGGTGGCCACGGCCTCGTGGTGACCACAGCCCCATGACCCACCAGTGACCACGTCCCCACCTCTCCCAGGTCCCACGCTGCTCCTCACCAGCGACATCATCCGTGCCCGTCTCGGCTCCTCGGCCCTGGACAGGTAATTCCCGTTGGGAAGGACATCCCGGGTGCCCCCCCTGGTGCCCCCAGCTGACCTCTCCACCCGGGCAGCATCCAGGAGTACCGGCTGTCGGGCTGGCTGGCGCAGCAGGAGGACATTCACCGCATCGTCCTCTACCAGACCGACGGCACCTTGACCCCCTGGACCCTGCGCTGCATCCGCCAGGCAGACTGTGTCCTCATCGTGGGGCTGGGCGACC